AGGTCATAAGTATATATCTCAGCACTAACCTGCAAAACATCAGCTATCAGTCAAACTCTCCTGCCTTCTGCCTTTTTTTTACATGATGATAAACTGGAAGTTTTTTTTCCATCTTAGTCTTGAACACTAACATAAATCATCAAAAATTTGTATATTCTTCAATGCATCATTAGCCGTTATCTTTCTAACGTTAACAAAAATTAATTTGTCTGCAAATGACTATAATTCCACCAATACAGTATCTGATCAGTTAAATCTCACTATTTTAACCATTGGAATTGATTTTGATTCACCTATCAGTTTAGAAAACAGGTTTTGCACTTTCCTATTCAAATTGGAACTGTCCTCGAAGAATATTTTAATTAAAGGTTTCTTTAATTAAAATATTTTTCTTTCTCATTTCATTTGACACCTTGTCTATAGAATGAAAGATCAAACTATTTTTCTGCTTCAAGTCATCTTTAAGTTTGGAAATTTCTAATTTAACCTCCAACTGGGTTAATCATTTGTGTTCATTATGTAAATTAACCAACCTGTCAATCCTCGTAACAACCTTGTTTAGAGTCAAAAAAAGCTTATCAAACTGGTCATCCAAATATGAAATAATCTTTTTAGGAATAGACTTGCTTGAGTCTAACTTTGAAGAGAGAGAATCCTCCATTCTCGCTGACTTCGAAGAAAGTTTGCTTGGAGAATGATGTCATTTTACTGTAGATGCCGATGATTGAATCTGTGAATGCGGCAGTGTACAATCAACAGGATCAGGATTCAATTCTATCCCACTTAATATTATTAACAACAACTCAAACACCATTATCCAAAACTCAATATTTTCCATAATTTTAAAATTCAAAAGAAGCACACAAAAAAGTTCATCAACACGCTTCACAGCAAGTAGTGTCCCCATTTAATATATTTCGATTTTTACAGCTATGGTGAGAAACGTTTAAAATTTACAACCACCCTGTTTTGTCTTTTTGATGTATACTAGTGATGCGACAAAAGAGGCATTTGACATTGAGCAGTATTGGCAGCCCGCATGCATGCATGCACTGCACACCTATCAGGACCGTCTGATTCCATCCACTTGTAGGGAGCTATTTGACTAAGTGGATTGTTTTAAGATTTAAAAAATAAAGAATATTATTTATTTATTATGTATGTTTCTTTACAAAGCTATATTTAATTATAATTTTCTTTAAAAGTATATTCATATAATTGAAGAATATTTTGTACCAGGTATGTACTGGTACATCCACCACGCATTTTATTTCACCAAGTAAGTTTTTATAATTTTATTTTTAATTTTAGCCCTTATATCATGGCTAGCAATTCAGAATGTAATTGTGATATTAAAAATACATTTAGAGAAGTCTATGATTTTTACTGGCTTATTGAACAATTGAATATGAATGGACCCTAGACAACTGCTGACATGCAATTAACTGATTGCCCCTGGAAGTTGGCTTCTTACAGAAACACGGTTTCCCTATCATCAAATGTCACGGCACATCACTGGAATGTAAGAAGTGTTTTTTGCATTACAAATAGGTAAAATTGGAAGAGAATAACTTTAAACAAATATCCTTTGAAAAGGTTAGTACGTATACACTGTGAAGACCTTTTGAATACTAATTGCATGTCAGATTGTAATCAATTTGCTCATTTACTAAGTCTTTGATTTTAATGTTTGAATCTATAGATCTGGAATATTTATAGTATGTTTTATGGGCTGCTTCATTGAAATATTTGTATTGAGAGTAATAATTATAATGAGTTTATTTTATGTATTTTATCAGTCTGGCTTGCAATAAAAATACTATTCTGATATAACTATATACAGTACAATAAACTGTTAACTCTGACAAATTTTTCAAAACAGTAATTTAAAATTTCTTGACAGTAGAAAAATTAGTGTTTTCAATATCTGGAAGTTTTTGCATTACCTTGCATTATATTACTATAGTGGCAAGTTGCTAAAGACTATACTTTGTTTGATACTGTACTGTCATGAAATTTTTTGAGCTCATTTCCTCTAATAATAAATTCATCTCTAATCTCAGCTCAGTAAACTTCTGTCTAGAGCTGATTATAATAAATTGCTGAAATGATATCCATGTTTTCATTTTCTGCATTGTTAGAAAAAAACACCCATTTAACCTGGACTTTTGTAAACTCTGACAACTTTCATCTTCTATTAGTCCAAGTTAGACTATTGAGAGATCAAATGAAAAGCTCAGATTACATTATGACACTTTCAAAAATGATTTTAAAAAGTTGTTAGAATGGACCATTCTTGTTACATTCATATCCATGTTGTACATAAACTGAAACTAATTGACAAAAATCATGATTTAGTATCATGGCACCATTAACATCAGTGTTATATTTGTCATTGTTTGTTTGTTTTTGACATTGACTCCTTAAGTACATCTGTCAAAGAATATCTAGATGTCATAATTTATATAATATTAAATATAATTTATTTAGATATAAAGTATAAGAAAATGATGAAATACAATAAAAAATAATTCTAAATAACAAATCTCAATTTCTTTAGACTATATACTAAAGATTTTTATCATGCAGTTTAAAACAAAAAATCATGCAAAAATAAATAAAAGTTACCACTGAATATTGTAGCCAAAAGCTCTCTTATTAGTTCGGTTAGTATAAATTATTTTTGAAACCAATTAATTATATATGTTAGGTAGTTCATATGTGAATTTTAAGTTGTATTGCATTTTCATATGCATCAGACACAACAATTTGTCATGTCTGATGCATTGTATGGCTCTGAAAAGAAAAATTAATTTTATAAAATGAAGCAACTTCTCAGTTACTGTTTTTTTGCATATCTACGATTGCACGTATCCTACAGAAAATTGTTAGAATCAAAATAAATGTTTACATAATTCACCACACCATCTATTTCATGCCTATGAGCAGCAGCAGTTTCATAGGTAAGAGTTTATAATTACACTTTAAAATCATCAACCTCTACCCCTCATTTCAAATTATCTTTTTAAACACAAATAACCTGTGGTTACACACACACACACACACACACACACACACACACACGGGAAGAAATCATGATAATACATGTTAAAATGAGAAAGCATTTCATAACAAATTAATCTTTTGAAATAACTTTGATTATTATTAATAAATAAATTTATCAATGTAAACAGTAATATTCCACTTTTATAAACATTTATTTATTTATTTATTATTTTTGTTGTTGTTGCATTATTCTATATAACTTTGTGATTCCAAATGTACTTTTAGTGTTGCAAGTGATAAATTGATCAAATACTATAATGCTATACTTGTTCACAAAAACTGATTGAAATACTATCACACACTATATAGTTATCTGTGTAGTGCATTTTATGAATATATGTATAAAAGTTTTTAATTATTATAATTTGGATTGTGATTATATATTTATATACATGATGTATTACTTTAATTATTTAGCAATTCTTTAAGCTTTCCATATTAGGTAATTTTTGAAATTAATGAATTTATTAAGTACTAAATACTTTTATATCATAATAAGTTTCCTTATAACAATTGTGTGTTCTTGATAGTGTGTGTAAATATATTCTGAATAATCTCTCAATAAAGTAATTTTTATGGTTTGATTTTTAACATAAAATTTCACAACTCTTCCTTTTATTCATTATTATACTTTTGAGTTCTACTAAGTCTACATGTATCAAAAAATTTGTTTTATATTTTTGTTTATATACATATATTCATTTACTTAAAGTTAAATGCATAAAAGTGATATATAGAAATGCAAGTGAATTTTGCTTTATTCAAGATATCTGCAGAAGAGAATCTTCAGTTTTCTGATCACAGCTTGCTTCTAAACAGTTATAAAATAAGACTGATAATTTGATCTTAATTTGAACTATTAGTCTTGAAATGTTAGTATGTATTCATTAGGAGTGTTACCAATATACAGTATTTAGATTAACTAATAAATGTTATAGTATTTATTTTGGAATTCTTTGGTAACAATCATTACTTAAAAAAGTATTCGAATATTTTAATGTTAAATAATCTTTTATCAGTTATAAATTCAGTTGTTTTTGTTGCTAGATTTTATATAAAATTGTTTTGAATGCATTTCTCTGCATTATAAACAACAGGCAGTGGTAAATTTTTTCAAATTGGTCACTTCCACTTTCAGCTAAACTCTGCAAATATGAAAACTGTTCTTAAGACAGGCTAGAGCTAAATTTTTTTTATATAGATAATTTATATTACATTTGGATGTAAGCAATTATATTATATATACTTGATTTAAAAGCATTCAAATTTTTCATTTAATAGGACCTTTAAAATTTTACATTTTATTTCCTTATAATTTTTTAATAAATAAGATTTTTCTCATATTTATGGCTTTATTGAAGCTTTATAATTAATAACTTCTATTGTGAATAACATATAAATTAATAGTACACATGCCTGCATGTCTTTTTTTTTTTATATATATATAATAATTTTTAAATGCAGCTTATGAGTTTTGATGTTTTTAAACTCTTGAATTTTTTTTCAAGAGTATTTTAACAAAATTTTTATTTTATGCTTGCAAAACATAAAATAGCTGTTTTTAAATTTTGCATGCTTTTTATTTTATTGTCTGGCAGATTAATATTTTTGTGAATTTATTATTATTTAATAATTTGTTTCCAATTAAAAAAAATTTCTGTATAGTTTAAGTTTTAAAATTAATAGTTATAAAAACAAATAATGTCTGTGTTGCTTTTTTTAAATAATGTTTTAAATAAGCTTTGTAAATTGTTGTTCTGTTCATTAACTTTATAATTTGTATAATTTGATTTTATTCAGTTTTATTTGCAGTCAAAATGTGTACAACTCATTTATTAATATGCAATATTTTTGCTGTTTTATGTTTGATTTGTTGCTATCCCATTACTAACATATAACTTTTAACTAACCCATATCCCTTCTCCTGCCTGCAGACTTTGGAGGGAGATGCATTCAGGGTTTGTACACATTTTATCTAGTTGACATGTACCTCATCAGATAGTAAAGTAGTTGAGTTGAAAATTCAATATATCTTGTGATATCCAAGATATGAAAATTTTTTTCCTATTCAGGGCATGCCTGAGTCATGGGCAAGACTATTACAAAATTCAAATATCACAAAATCAGAACAGAAAGAAAATCCTCAAGCAGTCTTGGATGTTTTAAATTGGTATGATGCATCAACCAAAGAAGAATCAAAGTACATGACTGTCAACAGAACAATAGGTAAATATTAAATTTGTCCTGATTGACTCAAACTTTAAAAATTTTTAATCTATTTTTAAAATACAAATAAAACATTAAAATTTTATTTAACATTATTTCTTTACATTTGATACATGTTATCAGTTCATATTTGTTATGATTTTATTTATTTATTTATTTTTTATTATTATTAGTTTAAAAGCATTTGTGGAATATTTAATTTTTAAATATTAAAAATGTTGACTTTTGTGTGATTGCAATTTATCAAAACAGATGAAGTGAAAATTTGTTTTGGTAAATTTGTAATCAATCAAAATTATTAAATTGTCATTTAATTTTGGTAATTGACAGAAAAATGTTTTAAGAGAAGTTTATATTCTCTTACAAAAAGAGCAATAAGTTTATTACTCAGTGCCTAAGGACTAATAATTTTGCAGTGAGTTTGGAAAAAGTAAGGAAAACACATCTAGCTCTGAACTATACTTAGTCTTTGCTAAGCATTTACAAAAAAAAAAGAAGAAATTTAGTTTTAAATTATTTAATATTAATGAATTAAACATAGAATGAAAGAACAGCTTAAATAATTTTATGTAAGGAATATAAACTAAAGTATTAAACTGATTTTAGTATAATTTTATTTTTAAATTTCAAATCTGATACATATTTATACAAAAATTGTAATTTCTGTTTTTGTTTAAATTTGGAAGTTATATTTTAATATATAATAATAATAATTACTTTTTTATTAAAATTATCCAGTTTTTTCCCATAACTACATTTATGTGAATTTTCTATATATACAAAATGAAAAAGAAGACTAAATATATTAATGAAGTATTCATTACAAGCAAATTTAATAGCAATTGAATACAAACTTTATAGAAATAATAAAGCTAGAAAAGAATGATATAAGAACTAATGTTTTTAAAAAAAGATTGAGAACTTAATAAACCTTCCTGAATTTTAACTTTTCCAAACATTGTATTGTAACTTTGGCTTGTATATATCAAAGAATTTTTACAGTGAGTTTAAAAAAATTAAGAGGAAAATTAAAAGTAGTTAAAAGGCTTCAAAATTAATATGACATTATCTTACGTAATACAATGCAAAGAAATAACACTTTTTATTTAGTTTTCACTAATCTGTTTTAATCTATTTTTCAAACTTTAGTTAATTGTTAAAATGCAGAACTGAAGAATATTAAAATTTCCATGTCACATTTCATTAAACTACTAAGACATAAATGGAAACACTGTTAGAGAAAAAAAGATATTATAAAGTATGGGAAATCAATAATTGCATTTATTTAGTATGCAATATTAACTATCTACAAAAGAAAAGTGCTTTGTTTTTTAATAGCCAAATATATTTAAAAGTTGGATTATTTTTGGTCATGTATTTAAGATACATAATTTCGTTAAATAATTATTTTATCTAAAGATCAATGGTTAAACTGTTATTTTGTCATAAAACTGCAAGAAAGTACACTTTTTAAAACAATATGAAATTGCTACTTTTAGGAAAGTGACATTTTATTTAGAAATGTTTTTAGCTATTCTATTGCCACTTTCATCTTATAACAAATACAAAAAGAACCTGATTTGAAATACAAATGTAAATTATTTTCTTATGTTCAGAAAATTCTAAAAGAAAAGATAACTAAAACCTGCAATTCCTGCTTATATGTAGATGTGTTATAAGTTACATCATATTAATTGCCATCTGATTTTAAATCATTTAGAGAATTATTTAATTCAAAAGTAATTGTAATTATTAATATTAGGCAGTTAAGTCATCATTTTGTGTTATCTTTAGGCAAAATTATATAATTTTTTTAAATTAATGATTAGCTTAATTTTAACCAGGAAACAATCCAACTTTTAAAAATCAGGCTGGAATTTTATGTTCATTGTTTTTAAATAAATTTTTGTCTCAAATAATTGACAATATTCAAGATATCAATTTTTATTCAATAGAAAAGTAATTCAGAATGCTACACATATATGCTTTTATTGGTATTCCAGGCTTAATATCTATTGCATTAATTTATATTTTCATCTTAACTCTGCTTTTTATGATATATGTATTTTTCTTATTCTGAATAAAGTTACTAATTTACATCTTTTTCTTTAAAACTTTGCGGTAGTGCTTAGTTATTTTCAATATGCATGAAGAATCAAAATAGTTCCTTTCTTTTTATCATATTTTTGATAATTCCATAATTTCTATTTCTGCATAATTATTCTCTCTTTCAACATAGCTGACATTCTCAACCTTTGGCCTCCAAGTATGTAATTTATGTTAATTGATGCACTTTCTTAATTTTATTTTTAATTTGCACAAACTTTTTTCCTTTTTCAAACTTTTCTATTAAAATTTAATATTATTAAAGTTTTTCATAAAAATATATCAACTTGACATGCATGCAATTTATTAATTCAAACTTGATTTATACTAATATCTAAATATATTACCAATTAAATGTCTAAGATTTTATTTATAATTAGAAAAATATTTTGATAAATTTTCAACTAATAATAATTTTTTATTATAGCTTCAACAAATCTATATGCAGATAATACGTGTAATTAAATTTTTTGAAATTCACAAATATATAAATAATTAGAAATTATACATTTTGTGTAAATAATAATGTTGATTTTTTTTTCTGTGAAATTAATCCTCAAGTAGATGTAATATAACTAGATAATTAGTCATACTCAATTTTTTTTCAGCTGAAACAAAACCATACCTGATCTGGATTTACAAAAATCAGGTTAACTCAAAATTAGTGGGGTATTGAAATAAGTCTAAAGTTATGTATTAATGATTGAAAATAAATTTACATGCTTTACTGATTTGAAAACACTAGGAACATTAAAATTATGTAAATAGGAATGTCATAAAGTTGTATGTCACTTTTCCTCTGAGAAGTGAGTGAAGTTACAGAAACAATAAAATTTTCAATGAAAAGCTTCTATGAAGAGAAGTTACCATTGAAAAAATTAAGTCAATATAACATAAATTGAATTTTTTTTTAATGAAGTCTCAAACTTTTTCTGGCTTTTCTGTAAAATTGTTTAAAATTAACATAGAACCTTCTGATAAGCACCCACTGATATTAAGGTCATAAATATTATTTCAGTGATCTCATAAACATTTAAAAAAATAAAACTTTCTAAAAATGTATAAAATTTTAAAAGACTATTCAAATCAATTTGGATACTCTGGAGAATGGTTTGAATAGTTTTTCTTTTGTAGATCAATTTCTGGAATATTCAGAAATCGAAAAGATGATGATCCAGATAAATGAAGTTTGACTATATTACTAATTTTAATTATCAATGTTTATAACATTACATTAATAAAACAAAAGGATAATTACTTAAATATCAAGCCAAAGCTTCCTTTTAAAACACTTAATAAAACATTAACACCTTATATCTCTGAGAATACTTTTTTTAATCACAAACATTTTCAGCCTAATGGATAGGCCATCATCAGGTGAACTGTCAATCGAACGTATTTCAAACTTGTATCAAATGGAATGTTCAATCATTATAAATTCAAAATTAAAATGAAAAATAAACTAGTAAATCAATAACCAAAATAAATGTACTAAATACTTTGAAGCCAAATCAATATAAATAGCTTTAATAATAACGTGAAATAAAATAAACAAAATAAATAAAATAAATACATAAAAGATTAAATGTATAAAAATACACCAAAAAGGCATCACATTATAAATGGCAGGTAGGGACTAAGAATCTGTATATTTCAATTTTTCTTTTATAAAGAACTTCCATGCCAAAGCTAAACCATCTGCATCTCTTGCATTGATGCAGCCATCCCTTAATTTACTTTTATTGATTTTTATTTTTTCATGTTGCAAAGCTAACGATGGAGACTGCACAGCCTTGAGAATAGATGCTTCATTCCATTTAACAACGGAAGCCTCCGCCTGTGTCATACTAGACAAAACCGTGTTACAGTGACCTTTACTAATGTCATATCTGTGTTCTTTAAGTCTAACAGCCAAATTCCGTCTTGTAACTCCAATATAGTCTTTCTTAATTCCTAGTTGTTGGTTTTCAAATGGAATTTTATACATGCATGCTGTTTCTTCTTTCTTAAGCTTGTCCTTGTTGTTTCTGAGAATATTATATAAATTGGGAGCTCTTTTGTAAACAATTCTGGAACCTGCTTCATGATGTCCCTGATGTTTTTATTATATGTGAATTTGGTGATCCTAAATTGATCTGTTCGAGTTCTCAACCTTTTGCCTCTTTCATAACTTTTAATTAGCCCTTCAATTGTACTTTTGCCATAACCCAAGTTTAAAGCTACTTCTTTGATTCTACCAATCTCCTTAATTCTGTCTATTACACTAGAGCAATAAGTAAACGTTCTAATGAATGCACAAAATACTGACATTTTGTATCCATATGGGTCATTTGAGTTAGCAGGTATGTAGAGAGGACTCTGTGTTGGTTTTATATAAATACTCGTTGTTATACAATCTCCTTTTAACTGTATGTCAATATCTAGAAAATGTATTCGTTCTTGACTCTTTTGCTCTAGTTTAAGCTTCAAACCAGGAACTCATGTATTCTTTCGCCATTTTTCCAAATAATGCACATGTCGTTCACATATCTCTTGTAAAATACAATATCATTTTTGAATCTATTAACAACATGCTGTTCTAAGTTGTGTAAAACCAGCTCACATAACATTTGTGATTAAATAAAGTATTCTCAGCGATATAAGGTGTTAATGTTTTATTAAGTGTAACAAGAGGATATTTAAGTTTGAATTTATTTAATTATTCTGGTTTTAATTATGAAATTTTTAAAGGTATTAATGCTTTTTTCTTTTTTAATTATTAGAAATGAAATTGTAAAGACGTTAATTTAATAAAATTTTAGAAAAATTTATTAAAATTAACTTTTAGAATATTGTCATTAAATTATGTAAATAATAACTTAAACATCATCTTGACCAATCAACTTGTGAGTAATCATTTATAATTTATATTCTTATAAATATCAATATATATTGAGATCACTGAATAAAGAATTATTATTGAACAGTCATTAAAAAAATTGAAATATTTATATATTATAGTAATATATTTTACATCTACTGGAGGGTTAAATGTGTATTTATGTAAAATTTTACTAGCAATTCAGTTTAAAATTTGAAGTATTTATAGTAACATCAAACTTAATACAAGATTTTTAAAATTCAGAAAGTCTTGAAAAAGTTAAGTTGTCTAGGAAAAAAAGTAATATGAAGAACAATAACACATGAAATTAAGACATTAATCTCTGCTAGTGAAAGATTAACTATAAAAAAATTATCAAAATTGTTTGAGATATTTATTAAAATGGAATAGAAAATAGTTATCAGTTACAACAATTGTATATTCCCTGTTTTTGTACAGTTAATCTTTATTTATATACAAACTTACCAACAAAATGATCAAAATATGTTTTATCTAACTTCATAGTTAATTGAATGAATTAATGCAGATAAAATGGTATTGCAAAATAAATCCTATTAAGAAATAGATAGATGAAAAGATTTTTAATAAATTGAATCTGTCATTCAAATAATTCTTAAAGTTTTCTTTTTGATATAAATGTATAATACATATGCATGTAATCTATTTATCTACATTCATATAATAATGATATTATATGAAAGAATATATTTTGAGCTCTCATCATCATCATGCTTTATCATCAAACACCATGAATCAGATTTATAACACACACTCAAATTTACAAAAATATTATTCAGACTTACAATATAATGTTTTTAAAATTTTATTTATGCTTGATTAAATTGGGGTTACAGTATATTACAATAGTTATCAAGAGGTTCTAATTTCAGAAACAAACTTTTTAACTGATGTAATTAAATGAGATTTTCTTACAAAAATAGATATCAAATTATTGTATACAGATTATTTATGTCCAAACAAAATATATCATCCAATAAAAGAAGCCTTACTTATGATCACATTTCATAGGGTTTAAAATTATCTTTTGACTTAGTTATTTTGTTTTCCTAAATAAATACTTTTAAATAAAAAGTAATGATTTTTTTTTTATTACCTTTTATTGTATTGAAATATATTCATTTTTCTGTATTTTTGTTATATTGCCACAGTCTAATTAAACCATTAATATTTTCATGTTATGTTTTAAATATTGGTATTTGAGATACCAGTTGTTTTTTAAAATGAAATACAGTATATTTATGATATGAAAATGATAACACTGAATTTCAATTGAATTGAGATATAATAGTGGCAGTGTTTTTTCTTTTTTATAATCAAATGCACAAAATATGTTAACATGGAGGAAAATAATACTGTTGATGAAATATTAAAATTAAAAAAAACTAAATCATAAATGATTAACTAGAATTATATTACATTCTTCTTATGCTATATTGAGATTCAGAATTAGAATAAGAGTTTTTCTTAGTTGACAATAAGAATTTACATTGACTATTACGTTAAGTTGACTAGAATAGTCAATGTAAGGTGAATGAAGTGGTGATGATGATATACATTCAAATTTTTATTAGTTTTTTTTTATTCTAATCTAAATAAGGATGTTACAATAGCTATCAAGACTTTCAATATACGAGGAGGTTTCAATATTTTTATTTTTTTAAGCAAAAATTTTAATGCATGTGGAAAATACAGAATATACAAAATGAAATATGTGGATTAGGCTACTTGTAGACAAAGAACTGTTCAGGTTCAAGCACTTGTCCCAGCAGTTCCCGTGCTTCAAGATCCTTGTGTTGTAGAATGTTGTTTCCTGGCCATACAACCATCTGCAAACAGTCGATTTAACCTCCTCATTGGAATGGAACTTCTCTCTAGCCAGGAATTTCTTCAAAGGACCAAACAGGACACCAGGAAATTTTTCCAACAGCATCTTCAAGAGAATGTGGTGGTTGCTTTGAATTGTTTGATCAACAGCATCGACTGTTTGAGGCAAACTGCACTTACCAGACGACCTGACCTGCGCTTATCAATCACACACTGACAACCATTTTTAAACATTTTGCACCATCAATGGATGTTTGAATAGCCCATGCAATCATCATTGTACACTTTCTGCATGAATTTGTTCACATTTCTTGCATCCTGACCATAGAAAATGAATAACACTTTGCTGCTCTTTTCTTTCCATTTGTCGGAAATGTTCAACAGGCAACACAAGTGTTCCTGTTGTGCAATAATGTTGCCAGAAATTCAAACTTTATTTACTATATTCACATTTTTGCATGCACATTAAAACATTTGTTTAAAAAAATAAAAGGTGTTACTTATTGAAACACCTTCATAGAAAAAATTTTTTGACTGTTCTGTAAGATTTTGAGAAATCATCTGAAGATGTTCCATCTTCAGATGATTTCTTAAAATCTTAAAAAGAGAATTCTTAAATTCTTAAAAAGAGAGTTCCTATGTTAGATGCTTTATTTATTCTTCTAAGATGATATGCTAATCATAACCTATTTATTATACACAGAAGCAAAAAGTGACAAGCTATTTGACTATGGTAAAGTCTTATTGATTTTAGTATGAATGTAAAGAGAAATCAATGCTTTCTGAATTTTATTCAAACCACATACAGTATTAATAATAATAAAATTGCAATAAATTTATATTAAATAAAATTTTTGCTTTAGATCCTTCACCAAGACCAAGTTATCTTGCTGATAAATATGCAACAAGTACTGTCATTCCTCCTCTGGTAGTTGTAAGTATGAATATATTGGATAAGAAAAACTAGTTAAAAGATCACTTTAAATGCAAAATATTTTAAGAAAGCAATTTTTATGTTTAAGGCAAAAAATGAACCTTCCCCTTCTCCTCCTTCGACTCCTGAGGAAGAAGATCTTGGTCCTCCACCTCCTATTGCAGCTAGACCAGAGAAAACAAAATCTATTGTAAGTTTCATTTATCTTACTTATAAACAATTATCTTTATTTATTAAAATTTTAACAAAAGAGAATGATTTTTAGTACACTAAACCAATTGAGGAAGAAGTTAAGAATGGAGCTATTGGTTTTGATAAAAAAGACATTGCAAACAATAATAATTCCACTGCTAGACCAAAGAAGAAGAAAATGTCAGATGAGGAGATTATGGAGAAATTAAGGAATATTGTATCAGTTGGTGATCCTAATCGTAAATATACTAAAATGGAAAAAATTGGTCAAGGGTGAGAAGTCTCATTTTATTTATTGAAAATTTGTGTGTGTAATAAATAACAATTTAAGAAATAATTTTTAGGGCATCTGGCACTGTATACACTGCCATAGAGATAGCAACTGGAGTTGAAGTGGCCATCAAACAAATGAATTTATCACAACAACCAAAGAAAGAACTTATCATCAATGAAATTCTTGTCATGCGTGAAAATAAACATCCAAATGTAGTGAACTATTTGGATAGTTACTTAGTAGGAGAGGAACTATGGGTAAGAAATTTTTTAATATTCACTGCTGAAAAATATATAATAATTATTAAAAATATTTTTACTATTCTATATTATCTTAATATTTTAACATGTCTGTCTATATGGATATACAGTTTGAAATTAATCATCTTTTGAATTTCATAGTATAGTTTTTTAGACTATATTATTATGGCATTTACTAATTTGCATATATGTATAGGCAAAGAAGTAAATTGCAAGTTTATTTAAATTAATCTCTAAGCATTTATCCTTTTCATTATAACAGACTTTTAAATTTAAAAAAATTTTTATAACTGGTATTAGCATGCTTTGGATTATTGATTCATTTTAAGTTGTTTTTATCTTTGAATACAGTATATTCATTTAGGTGACTTTAAACAGTTTTTAGATAGTTTGACAAAAATAAATCATATATTTTGGAAGTTAGCTTGTCTAGGGACTAGGTAGTATCTCCATATTTCAGGAAGACATGTTTGGAAAATTGTTTCCTTTATGACAGTTGTGGAAAACATCATTATATAGATTATTGAAGTTTTTCTATTGAAAATAGTGATTTCATGATAAATTCATTACTTGGATTTTAAAAAAGTACTATTTCAATACTGGGACACATGACCTTTTCCTAATTCCCAAGGGGCTCCAAATTCTATTATCAACAAACAGAAAATGCATGACTTGTAGCCTGTTCTGCAAATACAAAAAGAAACTAATGAATGTGTACGACTCGTGTTCATGGAGTGTACAAGTTTTTTGAAATAATTCGAAGGCAATGGTAAAAAACTATGAACTAATTTTAATTATAATAATTAACTTTGTACAAAGACTAAGCAGCCATCTTTCTGCTTTGTCCTATCACAAAAAAACAACTAGTGCCCCCTGCTCTTTCTATAAAAACTTCTTACAGAATGATATTTTTCTATTGTCCAATGAATGGGTCTCTGCAAAAAATTTTTCAGGGCACAAAGTTTGGAGACAATTACATCAATACATTTTATTTAATTATTAAATTTTTTGAGGGTTTTTCACAAGTAGATTATAGAATACAGTATTGCATCTATACAAAAAGATAGACAGTGTCTCATGATGAAAGTGTAAGTTTACTTATCTGAATCAATTTTACGATTATAATTTGTGGAATTTTTTTACTCAATTCAATGGAGAGCAAGTGCTTCATTTGCCCCCTATGAGGATGCTTATGGTTCTCTGTATCAATTTTTATGTAGTTATTCTGTTGTATGTTGTTCAGAATTCCGTGTTTCTTGTTTTCAAGGCCAAATTAGACCCGAGTGTAATAGTGCCACCTTTTGGAAGCCCCGATCGAACATTGAATCAGAGTTTGAAGCTTGCATAATATGTCTTTTTTTTTTTTTTTTTATAGCCTGCAGGTGTTGCTGGTTCATGTTCGTGATTTTTGAAAAATAAAACCCCATTAAAAAGTCAGTGCTCAGTGCTACATTGATGATGTACCATTGTTAATTGTTGATACTACCATTGATATACAAGTTAATAGAGATTATCATATCTGTTGTCATTACTTTATGCATTATTAGGAAGAATGTATCTTCATATTTAAAGGGTTAAATGTTTATATTTTTAATTATTTTTTGATTTTAAGAGTTGAATATTTTTACAGGTTGTAATGGAATATCTAGCTGGAGGTTCTTTAACAGATGTTGTCACAGAAACATGTATGGATGAAGGACAGATTGCAGCTGTTTGTCGTGAAGTATGTGGATTATTTATTAATATAAATAAAAATCAATTTTAAAATTTTAATTATTCTAAAATTGGGGAATTTCATTGTTTTAACAATATACATACACCTCGCTTACGCTACCCCAACTTATGCGATTTTCAAATCTCATCGATCTGTTTTTTGTTTGAGTGCCACACAACTCTTGATTACTCACTCCCCCCACACTATTGTTCAGCTTATATGTTCAGACGTGTTGCGCGGAATCGACACATAGCTACAATTCTGTGTTTATTATATCTATGGAGACTTGAGAGACTCCGTGGTGATTTCTTGTAACCGTGAACGAATCAAAAAATGAGATAAGATTAACGAGAACATTTATTAGTTTACATACATCTGACTTGGATTTTACACAAATTGTGAAATTATATCCCGACTTACGCGAATTTGACTTACACGGTTATCGCTCGGTCCCACCTATCGCATAAGTTTGGGGTATTACTGTATATATTTAACTTTACAATGAGCATTGGTTTGCATATGTTGTTCAACATAATTTTTTCATGGTTAGTCTTTTCATGATGAGAAGCTTCAATTGTAATTCCTTCAGTAGCTGTTCATGTTATAGTATTTTTATCTGTACTATTTTTAACTCATTTTGTTAGTTACAGCATAAAAATTCCAATAAAAGCTAATTCATATGCCTTTTTAGTTTAATGGATCAAAAATTAGGTGTCTAATATTATAATGTTAAAAAATGATGCACTAAATGCAGATAAAAACTTTTTCAGCAATTTTGAAAGAAATCTACCTTAAATGTTTGCAAATTATGCAGTTTCATTTAAGCAAGGAAAGAGTGGGATTATATTGAGTTTTTTTTTTCATTGCTAGATTATATTAAAAATTAAAAATACTATTTTCATAGTGAAGGTTGATTTTAAAATATACTTCAGTTTTATTTAGTAAAAAGTTAATTTTCTTAATTTCTGAGATTTGATTCTTTATTTAAAGAGAGATTTTAATACTGTGCTTGCATTTCAAATATTACTTATTTTTAAATGCAATTATGATTTTAAAATACTTTTTATGCTACTAAATATGTCAAAATTATAAAATATTGGAAAATTTTATCTACCTTAATCTGATAGAAAATGAAAGAAAAAGTGAAAAAATGTTGTTTCTGTAGTCTACAGGTTAATGTTATTTATCAGTAATATTTTTGTAAGAAAATGTGATTACTGCAATTTTAATTCATAAGAGTGAATTCATTTTGTTAGTTATATTCATTTTTATTAGAATACATTTCATTTTATTAGAATAAATTGAAAACATTTGTACTATAACATTTTCAAAGTTCTATTCATAGCCTTTCACTTTCATTTATACAGTATATGGAATATTTGGTTAAAAAAATAATTTGAATTAAACAAATTGGAAATGTAAAATTGTATTTAAATAAATATCAGTCTGAATGTAATCAATTTTTTTTAAAGTTAAAATTGCAAGTTTTCCTTATTTACTGATTTTTTTCTAACGAAAACATAAAATATAAAAGAGATGCAGTTGTTGAGTTTTAATGAGACAGTAAACAAACAATCAGAAAAGGGATAACATAGAAATCAGTTTAATATATAATACTCAATATAAAATGATTATTGGTGCATATACTTTCCATTTCAGATTGATTTGTAAGATCGGATCAGTCTTTGTCACNTGAGTTTTAAGGAGACAGTAAACAAACAATCAGAAAAGGGATAACATAGAAATCAGTTTAATATATAATACTCAATAATAATAATAATAATAACAATAACAGAGAAGAACAGAAACACAAATAAATGACATTAGATAGCAATTAGGCAGGCTGACACAATACGCTAAAAACAACATAACGCCCAAATTAATGAAACAACTTTTAAACATTTTCAAGAAAATCAAAACACACACAAAACACGAACATCACAACACACACATTACAGAATACATCGATACACTAAAACAGAAACTTGCAGCCAAAGCACATAGACTCAAACGATACAAAACATGTACACTATGAAAACAACAAAATAAATTATTCACAAACAATGAAAATTTTTTCTACAGACAAATTAGTACCAAAACAAACACTGATACACAGCACAGTGGCACACCAACATTAGAAGAACTCACAACTTATTGGTCTTCTCTTTGGTCCAATGCTGATGCAGGCTGGATCGAGGAGGAGAACAGAAACTTGCACAACATACCAACTATGCCCTGTGCTGAAATAAACATACATGACATCCACTACACTGTGAACAGAACACACAACTGGAAAACATCTGGTGTAGACAACATTCACAATTTCTGATACAAAAAGTTTACACATCACTGCACCAGGAAATAGCTAAACATCTAACACATGTCATCATCAATACACAAGACATGCCAAAATTTCTTACTCAGGGCATCATTTACATGAAACCTAAAAACAACACCACCACAGACCCCACACAATACAGACCAATTACATGTCTTCCAACACACTACAAATTATTGACATCCTGTATCACAAACAAAATATACAAACATGTTGAAGAACATGACATTCTTACGGAACAACAAAAAGGTTGCCGTAGAAATCACAGGGAATGCAAAGAACAGTTACTAATAGATTCAGTCATTCTACGGCAAGCACACAAACAACACAAACATACACATGGCAAATATAGACTACAGGAAAGCATTCAACAGTGTTCCACACAGTTGGCTGTTACATATTCTACACATGTACAAAATACATCCATCACTCATTGCATTCTTCCAAAACACTATGCAGCACTGGAGAACAACACTACATCTCAGGGTTAGTAACACTTCCATACAAACAAATGAGATATTCATTAGGTGAAGAATTTTTCAAGGAGATTTCTTGAGTCCTCTCTGGTTCTGCCTAGCCCTGAACCCATTATCCAACGTGTTAAGCAACACGCAATATGGCTACAATATCATACATGAAAAAACAACACAGTTTACGCTGTCACATCTCATGTACATGGACAACATAAAATTTTATGCATCCACACAAAAACAACTTCAGCAGCTCCTACAAATCACACATTCATACACCAAGGACATACAAATGGAGTTTGGCTTAGACAAATGCAAAAAACTACACACAGAAAAAGGAATCCTGAAGAAAGAAGATTTTGCACTTGGAAATGGAGAAGTTATTGAATCCATGGAAGAGGGCAGTTCTACAAGTATTTAGGATTCCAACAGGCCAAACTTACAGAACATACACAAATAAAGCAAATATTAATTAAAGAATACCAAAGTAGGTTAAATGCTATCCTCAGAACACAGTTAAATGCAAAACACACAGTTAAAGCAATAAGCTCATATGTCATCCCAGTACTCACATACTCTTTTGGACTTATACATTGGACTCACACAGATCTTGAGCAACTCCAAAGGAAAACAAGAACAACATTTACTAAGCATAAACATCATCATCCTAAATCCGTTGCAGAAAGATTAACCCTTCCACGTAAAGATAGCAGGCGTGGTCTGATCGACATAGTTAAACTTCACTACAAACAATTACAGTCACTGTGAGAGTTTTTCCACAAGAAATGAGAAACATCGCAGTTACATAAAGCAGTAACTCTAGCAGACTCAAATAACACACCATTAAACTTACACTCACATCATGCAAACTTGACACAATATATGTTGTGTCAAGTCTGTATGATAGCACCATCAAGCATAGACACCATCAAGCAATTGTGGGCTCGAAAGGCACTCCATGGCAGGCATCCTTATGACCTTTCCCAGGATTTTGTTGACAAAACTGCATCAAACAGCTGGTTAGATCGGGGATGCCTCTTTGGGGAGACGAAAGGATTCGTGATTGCCATACAGGATCAGGTCATAAATACTAAAAACTACAGAAAACACATACTCAAAGATACAACACTCACAAATGACACATGCAGAAAATGTCACATCATGCCAGAAACTATACAACACATCACTTCTGGGTGCAAGCTCTTGGCACAGACAGATTACTTACATAGACACAATCAAGTAGCAAATATAATACACCAAGAGCTTGCAAAGAAACACAAATTGGTAGACATTCACGAACCATACTACAAGTATATTCCACAGACAGTATTGGAAAACAACACGCACAAAATGTACTACGACAGAGCCATAATCACAGATAAAACAATTTACTACAACAGACCAGACATCACACTCATTGACAAACACAATAAAACCACATACATTATAGACATAGCCATTCCAAACACTCACAATGTACAAAACACATGCACTGAAAAAATTAGCAAGTACACAGAACTCGCCCAGGAAATAAGGCATCTGTGGAGGATGGATAGGGTGCTTATTGTACCTGTTGTTCTCTCCTGTACAGGTGTGATACCCCACACACTACGCAAAAGCCTGGGAACATTACAATTGAGTAGAAATACATACATCACACTACAGAAGGCTACTATATTGAGTACATGCTATATTGTTAGGAAATTCCTGAATACAGACAATGACACACTTATTTAATTTTAGTTTTTGGTTGCTATGCCTTGACTCTGGTCTGGCATAGTACACAGCCACCAGTATCAACAGAGGGTACATTCGTAAAAGTCAGAGTTAAACGCGTTAGTAACAAATCGTTCGAATAGTAGTAATCTCGTCCATTGCACATGCTCTGCGATGATATTTCAAACAAAACTCTAACGAAGTTCACAAAGGAAAGAGTGAGTTTACTTCATTAAGAAAATGGCACCCAACGATACTGATGTTTCTAAATCTACTTGAGTATTTAAATTGTGAATTAAAAGGTGAAATGATTGAAATAACTGTCCACCCAAAGCAATCTAAGAAAAATAGTTCAGATAAGGCTGCACTGACAACATTCATATCTTCAATTTTTGAAACATCCATTTAGTTATAAACGAATCGTTTGAAAAGTCTAACTAAATAAGAATAACGATGATGTCATTCTCGTTTAACTTGTTCAACTTTACGAATGTACCCAGAGTATAACCTACTAAATACTGTATAATAATAATAATAATAATAATAATAAAATTTACATTGCTAGTATTTTTATTTGGTTTTAAAATTTTATGTACTTTAAAAAAGCTGGAGTTTTCATTAGAGATTTAAAATTTATAAAAATAATATAACTATATATTTAGAATTTATCTGTTGAATTTTCAACAGGTTCTTCAAGCTCTAGAGTTCCTACATTATAATCAAGTTATTCATAGGGACATTAAAAGTGATAATATATTGCTGGGAATGGATGGGAGTGTTAAATTGAGTAAGTAAAGCAATGTCTATACCTAAGATAAATGATTTTTTTAAAAATATAATTTAAAAAATATGTTGTCTTTATGTACAGCTGATTTTGGTTTCTGTGCTCAAATATCGCCTGAGCAAAATAAAAGAACAACAATGGTTGGTACACCCTACTGGATGGCACCAGAAGTTGTTACAAGGAAGCAGTATGGACCAAAAGTTGATATTTGGTCATTAGGTATAATGGCCATTGAAATGATTGAAGGAGAACCACCATATTTAAATGAAAATCCATTGAGGGTATGTATTTAATGTTTGAAATAATTTAAAAAATATTGAATTATTCAAACTGTAATGACTACATAATTTAAATTTTAAAGAAAATAGTTACATTATATAATAATTTTACTTAAGCCAAAAGTTCTTAAAAGATAAATACAACTAGCTAGATGGCTGAGGCTGTTAAGGCATTATCCTACTGTCTGTGATTGAATCCAGATAGTCAAACTCCAGGAATTTTTCAGGGATCTATCTTGGATATTTTGAGCCTTACTCCTCACTATCCAGTTACCCATTGTAGGACTAGATAAATCCACAATGGGCTTGAAAAAAAGACATGCAGTGCCTACAGGACAAAGAATAAAAAAAAAAAAGAGATACACTTATATGAATAAAGACATTAATAGACTTTAAAACATAAATGTTTAAAGTCCAAAAATTTATTTTGTTTAAATATTATAATGAATTAGCGTCAAGTACCATAAAACCATATTTTTAAATTTTTACTGCATTGTAGTATTAGAAAAACATATATACAGAATGTGCCTACATTCATAGCATATTTTAACACACTGTTAGTGAACAAATGCTATTTATTACATTTGGTGTCAAATAGTAATCAAGTGAGTGCCATTTACCTGTCTGGTTTTGCACATGATCTCTAGTCACACATTAGCAATGACTGTAAATTTTTTTGTATTCTGAAGATGATCATGCATAGTAGTGAAATGAAGATCTTGATGCAAGATTTTCCTGAATGATCAATCTGAAATTTGAAGAGCCATAGCATGTCACTGAGCAGATCTTCTTGAGCCTCATGTGACTGCAGCACATAGTTTTAATCATTACTGATTCTGCACTGTCCTTTCACTCTAGCTGGTTATATCTGTTGCATTTACCTGTAATCATAAAAGGAACAAACCCACTTTGTAATGGTGCAAGTATCTAAACATCTCTGATAATCCAAGTTAATGTTGTCTGAATATATACTGTATAGCAACTACATAACATTATTTTTGAAATAAGCTTCTAATCCAAAGGTGCATTATTCTGTAGTCCACTTTTCTATATCAAACAAAATGGCAGCCCAGTGACAATGGAACAACAATACCATCTGACACATTATGTTGCTTATGTCATTGTAATTTGGATATCAATATATGCTGTGGATGCAGTCACATCTGTTTATGCTTGATAGCCTTTTGTGCTTTAGTCTTACATTTATCTCCATTATTATTCAGTGAATTTTTGAACTTGGTCATTTCCTATCCTTTCATGTATATGTGCATAAAAATATTTTGCATTAATGGTTCTATATGAAATTAGATATTATAAGAAAAATCAATTGGCAGTAAAATTTTTTTAATTTCAAACATTCTTCTGCCAGTTATGGTAAAATCTATACTTTATGGAATTAAGTTAATTACACTTCAATTACAGCATATTTTCAACTATATATAATAGTCAAAAATAAACCAAACTTTTAATATAACTTTTTATTACATTAATAATGCTTTCAAAGTAAGCTCCTTTGGCAACTACACACATGCTAGCATCCATGCCATTTGTCAAAGCTATATTTGAATCCTTGTTTAAGTGGCTTTAGATGTTGCAGCTTCCGCTTTGTCTTCCATCAGTTATTTCTGGTCATGAATAAGTAATAAGGACTGTTTTGACAAGTGACATAGATGCTGGTAGAAGAGTGTAAGTACGGGAGGAGCTTACTTTTTTAAAGTGAGTAATGTAACACAGGCTTTATTTATACAACATGCAAATAAGAATTTGTAGTTCTGTGATAATTAAATATTATCTTTTCCAAAGATTTATCACACAAGGGAAAACTACTTTTTTAAAATGAGAGTTGGAGTTGCTATTTAATCTTTAATAAATGACTAAAATTTCCAAATTTTCTTTCGTTACAAATTTTTAACCATCAGCTCAACTTTGTTTTCAGTTTCATAATTATTCCAATTCTAGTTGTTTGAATAGTTAATGAGATGTTATTCAGAAGTAACTCAATTTGATTTAGTACATTTCATTATAAATATTTTTGAATTTGCTTTAAAATATGTTACTTACTGTGTAACACACCACGTGACACAAAAGGCGGGGGTCACACAAGTTAGGGTTCATGTTTAATTAAAAATACTAGGCCTGGACTTTATGGGAAACAAAAGATATATAGATATCCAAAACAAACACTTTAGTAAAAATTCACAATAAATATTTATTAGATTGTTGTTATTGTTCAAACGATTAATTATAACCAAAGTTGGTATAATTTTCAAAAATGTCAAATAGTCAAGTAACAAAAAATCAAGAAATAAACAATTAGGCAAATGAAATTCTTATTTCTTATAATTGTACAATCTAAGATCCAATCTCCAGCCCAAAAGAAATACTCAACCACAGTATACGTTGCTTATGCTCAATCACTTTCCTTGACATGTCGCTAACGGTCATCGGTAGGAATTATATCACATGCAGTAGGGGACGATCCGTCTTTTATTTGAAGCTCAGTGTAGCTCCGCACTGCCCTAATTTACATTGGTTTGCGCTATGGGACAGTCACAGATACGAAGTTCTATCATTGCTTTTTGAATTTTTCACATGAGTGTTTAGGAGTTTGTCCTTAAATAAAAAGACCCCTGAAAAGAAAATAACTAACTAAAAATAACACCCAAAAACATTAAATAATGATCGGACATCAACTCCTTGCAACTGTTCTTATGTTGCCCTTAATAAATGTTAAAAAGTAAATGCAAAATGTTACTTCTTTATAGATGTTAAATCATGAAAGATGATTAGCCTACAAAGCAGTTCTTTAATTTATTGTATACATGAAATTTCTTATAAATGACATTGTAAATGTCATAAGAAATTTTAGTCAATAAACTTTTTTCTTTTAAAAATGAGATAAATGAAATAGCCATTTCTTTTATTCAGAACTGACATACAATTTAAAATATGAGCATTAGAACTATATTTTTGTCAATTTTTATTACATAAAGTTAATTTCCTCTCTTGTACAATCATCTATTTCCAAGAATTAGAAAGGAACTGATTATTTAATTACATAGTTTTATAGTATGAGGAACAATTATTTTCATGTTTAGTAATATATTAAAGCACAATGTTAAAGAATTTCTTTATACATCGTATAAAATTTAATTTACTGTGTAATGAATTTTCTTCAATGATGATTGATTTAATTATTAATTTACCTGTAGAATTGCAGAAAATTTTAACAGTTTTTATTAAAATTATTAGCAAATAAATTTTGATCAAATTTGTATTCACAAAAGCATTATTTTGTTCATAGGCACTCTATTTGATTGCAACAAATGGCAAACCAGAAATTAAGGACAAAGAAAAATTGTCTCCTGTCTTCCAGGATTTTCTTGATAAGTGCCTTGAGGTAGATGTTGACAGTCGCTTTTCTGCCTCAGAGTTACTTAAGGTTTGTTTTTAGATATGTATTTTTATTTTTTTTCAAATGGATGCTTTAAATATCTAATAAATTTATTACATTATTTTAGCATCCTTTTCTGAAATTGTCAAGGCCATTGGCAAGTCTACAACCTTTAATAATTGCAGCAAAAGAAGCAGCTAAAAGTCATTAACTTCTTGGTTAACATTTTAGAAGAAATTGTGAATTAATCCAGTATAAATTAATTTTGATAAAAATGAGACAGAAAAAAAGACATCTAAATTTATAAATGCACAGTTTTTTTGGTTTGGTGCCAAAAGTGTACTTTTTGGACAAACACCAAGATTCAGAATTAAGAAAAAAGGAAAAATATAAATTTCAAATGAAGTTAAATTCGTCACATTCCCTCAAAAAATGGAAAAAAGTGAAAGTGTAAACTGTATGAAAATCGAAAAGTGTTGTCATCATTCATCATCATTGCATCTATTCCATTTTCCAATTGTTTTTTTGCACATAATGTCATCAAATCGTTTATAATTTAAAGATATAAATAGCTTGCCTTGCAGCTAAAATGCATTTTCCTGAAGCAATTCTCAAACTCCATTATGAAAAGACCAAGTAAAGGGGTTTGTGTAAGTAATAAAGTCGCTATAGCATAACAAACCATTAAACTAATCACTTCTTGTTTTAAAAATACATTTTATAATTTTAATTATGTTCTAAATTCTAAAATTATTTTTGACAAATTGAAAATATTTGTTGAAAATATTAAGTTTAAATATACGTAATTAAAATATATTAACCAAATATTCTCATAGAAGTTTTAAAGGTATAAAATATAGTAAAAGTTGTAAAATTAAAGTTCCTTCTAATAGATATTGAACACTAAGGAATTCCTTGAATTCACATGAAATTGAACAGTCAAATATATATCAACTTTGATTTACAACGATTTTCCCTAAGAATCAAATTTATTGTTCAATTAAGTAATGTCGTCTTCAGGAGAGATTTATGCAAAATCTCTACCTTCTTAAGTAATAATTTTTATATAAAATATAGATTTTAAATGAAAATTTTGGATATAACTAAATTTATTTACTTTGTTCATCGTCATTTTAAACATTCATAATAATTTGTATAATGTTTTACATCATTTTATAGAATTTAATATGATGCTTCCAAAAATTTCTCTTTAAAAGAACTGCCAATTAATTCTCATTTTTCAAAAGTGTGTCTGATTTCTCATTTACAAGCTTATCTGGCAAAATTTTGCATTAGGTTTATGGTAAAATGCTGCTTTCTTTGATTAAAAATTATATGTGGAGCGTTTAGTTTCAAAATATAATAGGCATTCGTAAATATTAAAGACTAGTAATGGCCATTATAGGTAATTTTTTTAAGCTTCTTGCACAAACCCCTTTCAAATTGTCAAATTTTCTATATTGAAAAATTATTTCAAAAATAAAATGGGATGAATTGCACATTTTTTTTCTTTCATAATGAAAGTTTTTAATTTTTCTGATAGAAATATTGGAAAAATTTATGGAATCTCCTTTCTCTCTCATCTTACAAAAAATCTATAGAAGCATTTTACGGTTAGAAAATTCTCATACTAAACGATAAAAAGTTTGAAAGAAGAATGAAAACAGGACAGATCATAGCAATAATTTACGTATTGTAATAATTTCGACTTTTTTTTAATTATTAAATTTTAATTTCCAAGAACTATTTATTATTATTCTTTAAAGACAATTTTTCCGGTGTTGCTGAATTATAAAGTTGTCATTTGTTGTAATTCAAAGAATCGTGACTGTGAATGTATGAAAGTGATCAATAAGAAAGAATGAAAGATATTTACTACTTTGAAATTTTGTGTCCTCGTCAATTGAAATTCGATTCACACTAAAATAAAAAATAATTAATTGCGATCATAAATACAATTGGAAATTCGTCTTATACAAAAATAATTCGCGAATAATAATAATTTTTTTTGTCTTGCAAGGTAGCACGATAATCATTCCGGGTGTTGCCTGGTAAAGCAACTTTAATACAGCTGAATAAGTAAGCAATGTATTAAAACAAACTGTCATTGGTTTGCTTATTCAGGTGTATTAAAGCCTCTGCCACTGAACGCGCTCATTGTCTAAGTAATTTAAATACAAAATTCATAAGAATAGACTATGAATTTTGTATTACTACTATGAATAGAAATTATATTTTTAATCATGGACAGTGTCGAGAAAGACACTCCGAAGTCTATCTCCCCTTTGGTTTTCGTCCCTTCTCTACTTTTCAAGTTTCGTTTAAATGGACCGATTTAAGCCAGGGCCATTTTGCCCATGACGACATGAGATCCGTCACTTCCGAACAAATATTTTCGAGGCTGGTTAATGCGTCAATCGTTGACCAGTCCACTTATGATCAAATGATACCGAGGATAGCAGATCCACATCTCATCATTGTGTCACAATGTAGAATTTACACATGAAGTACTAGTAAATTACACGAAAAAAATTAAATTGTTATTTTCGGGTTCGAGTCAAAATTCTCAAATTTCGCATATTATTACATTGAATATGTAATAAATATTAGTAAAATTAAAAACCTGGCCGACGGTATTAACAATTACATTGAAATATAAAAATTTCACAAAAATACAAAATTGTGCTAGTTTTCTTTCCTGTCATTCAAACACCAGTGACAGTTCAAGACAATTTTCACCTTAATTTTGCAATAATTTAATTTCCTTTCATAATTTAGAATTATAAAAGGAAGTTATTCTGTTTCTTTTCCAATAAAGATTTGTAGCTATTTATCGCCACTTTGCTTAGATAACTTGGCATAAATTACTTTTCCTGGCATATCTTATTCAGTTTCGTTTGCATCTATAATGTGGGTCTAAAATGAGCCCGTAGAATTTTTTTTGTAAATACCTGGCAACTCTGATTCAACGTTGAGGTTTTCCTCGAGCGCCAAATGTGTTTGGCACGGCCCTGGCCCTGTTGATGACACATCTCTGAAGATAGAAATATGCCGTTTTAGATGACAAAGTACTTTACGTAGAGTTTATTTAGTCAGGTTCTTCGTTGTGTCACAGCGATATATTTCTGTACCAGGCTTCTGAACGTTGGCATTCCTACAACTTAAGTTACGATATAATGTGGCTTATCGCGATCACCCGCCTCGTTTTTGGGGTATAGATGTTACGAGTAGATCTGAATAAAGCGTATAGATAGCTGAGCGGTCAAGGTGGCACCCCGTTGACCGCTCAGCCATCCGTCTGGGGGACCCAGGATCGAATCCGGACGGTCGAAAAATCCCCAGGAATTTTTTGGAGGTGCGATCCGACCGGATATGACTGCCCAGCCTGGCCGAACCCATAATGGGCTTGCAAAAAGAGGTCCTCTTAGTGTCCACAGGGCGGAAAGAGTTAGAAAAAAAAGTGCCCACTCTCCCATATTGCTCATCCGCCCTAACTGTCGGCATCTCATAGAAAATATGCAATATTTTCTACGCGTTTTAGATCATTGTTTTGCATACAATTTTTGTTCTATCGCTGCTACTCGTGAATCTTCGAAAATTATTTCTGAAACGATTCACAAGAATAAAAATTAGAAGTAGTAGTGAACCAACTAGATTTTTTAAATAATGAATTTGTTAAAAAATCTAGGTGGTTCACTACTATAATATAGATTCGGGAACTGTAAGCTGGGTAAGCATTACATTGGACACCAATTTAACAATTAAAAATGTAAAGTTAACAAGAAGTATTTTATTTTTATTATGTTTGAGATTTGAAAGTATTTTATATAATATTTTAAATGTCAAAATAATTAAGTAATTTTACTTTCTCTGCCGTTATATATAACATGCCTACCGCTCTGGGGGACCCGGGATCGAATCCGGACGGGTCAAGGAATCCCCAAGTTTTTTCGGATATGTCGGGCCCCGTTTCTCACTATCCGGTCGTCCCATTGTGGGCCTGGCGAACCCATAATGGGCCTGCTATAAGAGTCCCTCCTAGTTCCCACAGGGTGGAAAGAGTAAAATATATATATACTGTATATATAACAGATGGAAAGTATGGCGATCGGTTAAAAAAAGTGATCTCTCAGATTTTTACATTTTTGGACTCGGGATCTTAACGTCAAGAAATGAAATAAAAAGTTGAGGGGTGGGAAGATAGAAGTCGTGTGTCATATCTCGACTGAGGATGGATTTAATGAGGATTTTACTTGTTACTAGCATTTGCAATTTTTTTTTAATATACATAAAATTCATCTCTACGTCAAAGGTAAGCTTTTTGTCTTTTTATAAAACAATAATATAAAACGTTTTTAAAATAAAATGAACCGCTCACTTGCCAAATCGATTAACTCCAAAAAACAAAAAGTAGGAAAATCGATAGTATAAATTTTTTAAAATTCTTTTTAAACTTTAAATTTAAATGAACATTGTAGAATGTATTCTTACATACCGTTCGTTAAAAATTAGTTATGCGAAAAATGTAATAATAACGATTATATTTACAAATGGAGTTAATCGATTTGGCCTGTGAACGGCTCAAATCCCGTAGCAGATGGAGCACTACACAATTTTAACTTTTTTGGGGGAAAAGTTACGCAACCCGTTGCTAGATTTTTTATTACTGAAATAAGTGATGAAATGAAAAATACTGATGGTATTGAAATTGTACAGTTTAAATAAATCATTTATTTAAGTATAATACCTTTATACATTTAATAAAAAATTAAGACCAAAAAAAATTAACTTTCAATTATATTCAGCCTGTTTCTATTCTCTCCTGGATGAAGGTTTCCCTAAAATCTACCATTCTTCTCGTTATGATGCCTTATTTTTCCATTCGTTTTCTGAAAATTCTCTGATTTAGTCTTCCAATCTCCTCTTTGCTCTCGTTTTTTTTTTCTATTTTTTAGAACAGTATAATCTTATTATAAGAAGACATGATAATATATTGACTATGTCTAACCTATTTCCACTTAAGAAATTCGGTCCGGGCTACCACACACTTTTATCCACGCATTCCTCTGTCTTCAGACAGACAGACACACAGGGAATGCACTAGTTGAATACTTTTTTAGAGATTTACAGATATGTCATTTTTAATGATATAATTGAGTTTATTGAATGAGATCCGTGCAAGTCTTGCAAATTTTGACTTTTATAATATTTTAAAAGTACACTATAGCAAATTATAGGCTGCGAATAGTGTTCATTTATTTCATACTTATATTATGAAATGATTCTGAAAGTTGACTTGGATTAGTGATAGGAATACAAGATCGTTTTGTACCCCATAAGATATCTCGAATTTGCAGCAGCATATTGCATACGGTGTAGAGTGCCTTGTACACCTAACAGAACAAATATAAGAAAAATAAATTTAGCTTATTGGTTTTATGGTTCTTTGTTTTATTACAACAAATCTACATCTTGTGTATAAACAAAGTTGCGGTGGAAACTGTACCTTGCGATGATCATGAACTAATCATAAGTTGTGAAATGTTAAACAAGAACAGAAACATTTCAGTTCTTGTTCAAAGTTGTAACTGAAGAAGCCTGTTTATATTGGGTGAAAATACTCTTAAGTATATTTGTTTGTATTATTCTTGACAAGAATAAATCAAACTTATGGTTAGTTCAAAAACTCCATCTTTGACCATGCAAGTGTATTGAGGCTTACCTTTATTGGAGATTCTTTTGACATCAAAAAATAACCTCCACAATTGAATCCAATTTCGTTTTCACGAAATTTCTTCATAAAATCTAAAATCTGATTATTTTAAACGTTAAAAAATTAATTTTTAATCACAAATTACTATTATTGACTTTAAAAAATTTCACAAATTTAACCTTAAGTTTTTCTTCCAGTTCCAAAGGAGCAACACTTAATTTCCTGATTTCTTGAAAAGAATCGTAAGCCTGCAACATTATGATAAAAAATTTATCAGTATATATAATTTTCTGAATAATTAGTTTTAATAAAATAAAAAAAACATGACTAAAGATAATTAGATAACCTAGACTTACCGAAGATGAGAAACGAGCAAGTGCAAGAGAATAAAACATTATCAACGCAATAGACAATATGGTAAGTGAGATTAAAAGGATGTGAATGCGGATATATGAACTTATTTCGTTAAATACAGTAGCATTGATAAGAAATGCTACTAAATAAATAACGACTCCAAATAATATGAAGAAATATTCTCCCCATTTATCATTGATTTGATCAATGAAATGACAGAGCTCTTCGTGTTTAGAAATTAATTCGTCTATATTGTATTTCGAACAATTAATCCTTGCTTCTTGCAGTTGTTTCGACAATGCATTAAATCTTTCGAGTATTACTATGCCCACCATTATTGAAATTGGTACGATCCACATAAACAAAATCGTTTCGAAAGCCACACCAACTTGAAAATAAACAGAACAAATTAGTGCTCTGAAGGAAGAGGAATATTTTTCAACAAATTTGAAAACAATTGTTGAACAGGCTATCGCGTTAACTATTAATATTATGAAACACAAAAACCCAAAAAGTACATTCAACAATAATTGATATTTGAGCAATTTTTCTTTTTCACCTTGATACCCTGATATTTTCATATTGAAATTTAATTTTTTCTTCCTGCCCAATTGCATAAAAATAATACAGCTTAAATGTAAAAATGCAAAAATAATTTCTGCAAACAGTAAACTGATCCTGTTTACAGGAAGTTTTGGCATGAAGTTAGCTGTACAAGCGATTATACTAGCTTTAGGCCCGAGTGCTGTAAATATCATTAAAAACAGGCTAATGAATATCATATGCACAAACTTTGCATAAAATGACATGATTTTTGTTTGTTTAACGCTTAATTTATGATGCTCGCAACGTTGATAAATGATATCTCCAAAAATCATCCCGATTGATATACTAGGATGAAGCATACAATATACGCAACCATCAGCCATTTTGTATTATATCTCGACTATAATTTCGTCCAATATTTAAATAAAACTAGTGACTATCTTGCATAGCGTAAAGTTTTCACATATCATCATAGAATTCCAAGATTAATTCGAGAAATGAAGAGCAACAATAAAGCGTACCCAGATGAAACCTTTTACAAACAAGAACGTTGATTTAATAAAACTTAGGCTTATCTTTAAGATATTTTTCAAAAACATTAATAATGAGATTGACTACTTTATGCATAATATTACTTAACTGGATATGAAAATTTTATTTACATTCACTTTAGTGAGATTGAGTTTACTTTCATGCATTTCACTACTAAATTGGACACAAAAATGTTGTTTACATTCATTAACTTAACGAGCATTCTTTGTTGCAAAAAATGTATTCTGAAACATTAATAAGATTCACGTTTGTTGTGAGAGAATATGACAAAAATCAATAGGCTACATTTTCAAAATTCTTTTTTTAAATTTATCGATAAGTAAATATATTTAAATATTAATTTGTTATAAAAGTGAATTCTTCTTTCAATTAATAGAGGCTATTACATAATTTAAATATAAATTATATCGATAAATTCAATCGATTAAAAATTCATTTCTAATTGAATTTTTCAATCAAATTAATGTAAGATGAATACATTTTTAACTCTCCGCACTGTAGACACTAAAANAACAAATCTTAAATTTTTATTAATAAAAAATATTTAATACACAACAATAAATTTTAGTTTTTCTAGAAAAGTTTGAACAGTTTGTTTATAAATTTAAAAAACTGAAGTTTATTTTATTAAATGTCTAACAAAAGTTGTTATACAATAACAATATTACCTTAAAATATTAATTGTCAACAAGACTATGTCTTGTTTATAAAATCGTAGGGGAAATACGTACAAAATGATATATGGTTTTATTTTAGGTTCATAAGTATTTATTGGTAAATCACAGCACTGTCATATTCTACACCAATCATCTTTGGTTCTTTACCTATGAAATATGTTTATAAATTTAAAAAATTGAAGTTTATTTTATTAAATGTCTAACAAAAGTTGTTATACAATAACAATATTACCTTAAAATATTAATTGTCAACAAGATTATGTCTTGTTTATAAAATCGTAGGGGAAATACGTACAAAATGATATATGGTTTTATTTTAGGTTCATAACTATTGTAAGGTCGCCGACTTTAGGGGGCAATAGGTTAATTGCGCGTCAGGAAAACCTAGGATCAAGTCGTACGTGGGTGGTGGCGACAGGAGACAAAGATGACAAGTGTCTTACACGAAAACCGTTTATTTTGACATAAGGTTAACTTACATAACAGTAATAACACAGAAAATTCGATCTAGATCTTTCCGCTGGGGAGCTCCCGATGTCGGTGGATGGGTGAAGGCTGGGGTTGCGTATCCCGGGTCCTTGATAGATGTGTCCGTTGTACAGGAGGTGACTCTGACGGCTGATGCTGCGGATGGACGGAGATCTTGGCCCACTGGTGGAAATACTGGTCCAGAGGAGAACTGCGGAGAATCGGCTCGGAGAGAAGCGGCTGAGAATCTCTGCTTTGTCCTTGAGATCCGGGGGTTTTATAAGATTTTCCCCGAATCTCACCCTTTTGATTGGTCCCTTTCGCCCTCTCCCTTACCCCGATTGGTCATTCTTTTGTTTTTAGGCGAAACTTGAGACCGATCCGGGTCGGAGAGGTGATGATGGGGCTTTTAATACAAGCGTAAACTACCGTTCGCGCTTGTATTTTTCTCCGTTTTGGCCTTTCTCTCGGACATCTTTGAACTTAAACGGTCCACCAGATGTTCTTGTGGCCATTTATCCCCTATCGCGTTCGGACTTAACAGATGTCCCCTTTGTTCTTAGACCCCCCTTTTTCTCGATTGCTTCGACCCGACACTTGTTCGCGAGCATCTCGACAAAGCTCTTTCTCTCTGTCGACATCCCCCCCCCGTTGTTTATCATCGCGTCGCGTTTGTTTTACAATTCGAAAAAGTTTTCGTCCCATCTGGGTTCTGTCCCCTCTTGACCCGTTTCTATCTTCGAAACTCTCCGACGTAAAAGTTTGTAATTAGTCGCAATTTCGACGCGCTTTTACCACCCTCACACTATTTATTGGTAAATCACAGCACTGTCATATTCTACACCAATCATCTTTGGTTCTTTACCTATGAAATATACTAAACATTTACAATATTAAAATAATAGAAAATAAATATTGTTAGTTTAATTGAGATCACCCAAAATCCATTTTGTCCATATGCTATGGACAAAATGGCACATTACGTAAGGACAAAATGATATACACGTAAAAACTATAAAATTACTGACAAAGTTCACAAATGAAACGTCAGCGCAAGAAGCGTGAGCCCAACGCAAACAATTTAAGCATCGTTAACCAGTCTTCTCCAGGCTTAGATCGGGAAAAAAGATCATTGCAATATATGCATGAACAGTCCTCTTCATCATCTTGAGAATTATCAGGAAAATTTTCTTCTTCACTGTCTTCTTCAAGTAACGTTTTAGCAACGTCTCCTTTTCTCTGGCAGAGCTATGGGCTCATTTTTTGATTTAATTGCCTTCGTATTAGGAGTAGAAGTTAAAACTAAAGAGGTTTGTCGAATAATACGAATAATACAGAGAAACCGAATCACAAGGGGCCCCTGTAAAGTTGGCTATCCAAAGGGAAAAAAGCAATTTAGGAACCAAGTTCGACGTTAAAAAAAATTTAAACCTTTTTTCAAATAAAACAGATGTTTTCTTTTAAACAACAATGAAATATTTTTTGGAAGCCATTTTTTATAATTAACTAGCTGCAAGGACCCGCTTCGCTGGGTTTTTATTTGTTCGTACATTTGTACAGTATGTAATATAGTTTTTTTATATATATGTTACCGCTAAAGCTCGAAATCCGTTAATGTGTACATTACCTAGCTAATCTGCAGATTAACTAGGGTGANAACTTTAACGGATCACCCTAGTTAATCTGCAGATTAGCTAGGTAATGTACACATTAACGACTTTCGAGCTTTAGCGGTAACATATATATTATTATATAATCAGTGGTGATATTCAGCGGGTTCGAACCCGTTGTTAACATTTTCAAAGTTTTCCGAACCTTGTTGAACACACGTAACAATTCTCAGTGGTTTTGTTTCTTTTAAAAAATATATTAAAATATACGTATTATACTCTGTAGCACTACTAAACTAGAGCCTTGCATCACGTTCGCCTTGGTACGACCTCCCTCGACCGTTTCAATCTCGACTGAAACGAGGTACAATCGCGACCGACTCAAGAGAGTTCTTGAAACTAAATCTTCATACCCACAATCCCACGCGCGTGAGAAAATACAAGATGGCTGCGGAACACGTGTCGTAATAAAATAAATACAAAACAAACCATTTTGAACACTTTTTTATTATTTATAAAAAAATATATAGCTCTGGCATAAACAATGTTAAATTTTAACTGACTTACTTTTGTGAACGCATCTTTTTTATTTATATGAGTATCTTAAGTTCCGTTTTTGCGCTAATCTTGCTAATGCACCATTTGAACAAAAAAAAAAAAAATGTTAAGGAAAAATTTTCTGTTAGCGAACCCTTTGTTAAATATTTCGAATATCACCACTGTATATAATTAATGTTTAAAAGTTTATTTCTACTAATAGCTAAATTTCTATTTAAAATTATAAAGGTTAAGTATCAAATTTTATACAAAAACAAATTATATTATTAATTAAAAGCCATCTACTTAAATTTAGAGTTATTATACAATAATTGTTTCAAAGAGAAGAATCACGTGATATGGAACACGTCATTGCAGATCACGTGACGCCTCAAAGTGTAGCAGAAAGAACGAGCCCATCTGCCAGAAAAATAAATCAAGGGAAACACGTCATTGGTCAGATGATATGATAACGTCGAACGAGGTCACGTGACGCGATCTGTAAGCGTCGTCCTCCAATGTGCTACTCCGCGATGCAGGACCGGATTAACCCACATTGGGGCCCTAGACATTTTCTTCTTCCGGGTCCTCTCCCGGCTCTTTCAATTAATAAATCTTGTTACTATTATAGTAGAACCTCGATTATCCGGACTAATTGGGGATGAAGGTAGTCAGGATAAGGGGAAATTCGGATAATCGAAACAAATACTTTAATTTGTCTTTTAATGATAATACACGTTTTCTTTTCGATGACATATTGGTAATATTAAAAATAAATACTGTATTTAAATCGTGATCAAATTTTCAAGAAACAAACGTTTGTATTATATTGAATTTGGACTACTATTGACCAAAGCTAACAGACTATCTATTGTTTAAAAGGTCCTCTGGTGGCGCAAGAAGACGGATTTTATAAAATAAAAAGCAGTTGAAACTGCATTTTTATGAATAAAAATTTGACAAACTATTTATCGTTTTATGACGAGTAAAATTTTTTCGTCGC